AATTTCCACATCTCTCTAACAAACAAAGGCATCAGAACAGATTCTGAAGCAAACTTGGATGTAAAATTCAGTATTTTACACTTCCTGAACATTGTGACTTTATTCAGTAGGCCTACTCCAAAAGTTGACTCATAAATCAAAAGTTGACTCATAAATCAAAAGTTGACTCATAAATCAAAATTTGTGTGCATTTCAAAGAAACGCATCAGCACAACCATAGAAATCAGATAATGCTTGAGGGGGAAAAAACCCGCAAGGATTATGAGTAAGAAGTGGCACTAAGAGTAAAAAAATTCTTGGAGAACTTGTTTTGGGGTTGTTGTTTTTTTTTGGGGGGTTTTTAAAAATCTTTCTCAGTCTCACTCCCCAGGGCTGTATACTTTAGATACTCTCACTTGACAAGCTGGATGAGATTTGTTCACATTACTCATATTATGGATGTGAAGAAAAAAAAAAGACAACTGATGATGGTTAGGCATGAAGCACTTTCTTCTCTGTCATTCCATACTTTCTTCTATCTGCGGCGTACAACCGAAAATAAATAGTTTTAAAATGTATGCGGCAGCTGACATTCAAATCTGTGGTTTTTTATCACTGTTATCACTTAATGAGCCCATCTTTCCATGCAAGAGACAAAAAATAAGAACACAAGTTAAAAAAACAAAACCCAACATAACAACAATATTATACAGTTCAAATCTGCACATCATGTACTATCAGTCTTTGTATCCTGCTCATCTAGCTGAACATCAAGCTCTCACTGGCAAAGTTGAAGGAAAACGAGGCTGGGGTAGGCCCAGAGCAACCTACTTAGGGAACCTAAACAAATGGGTAAAGGGGAAAGATCAGGGAAACATAGTTTTTTTAAGAGCATCCGAGCAAAGGAACGAAAGGAAAACCATAATCGCCGATGTCTGTCGCAGATCTGGTACTGAATGATGATGATGATGATGTATGCCTATCCTGTACGCTCTGGCATGGGTGCGACTGCCTATCTCCCAGCCACACACTCATCTAGTGCGCAACATCCGAGGTCACCATGGGGGCCATAGAGGGGATGCAGCTATGTGGTACAGGAACGGGAAGCGGCGTGCTGTCACCGTCACAGTGTGCAAAGACACGGGTGGTTATACTTTACTTTTGCCCTAAAGAAAAACATCAGTGATGTTTGCTGCAAGATTGAGGCCATGCATTCTATCATGACATGAAAGAGAATGTCGTTTTCCTGTTTAACTTTTCAAAGCCCAGAAAGCACAATTTTTCAGGAACTGTTTCATTCTTCAAAAATATTTACTTAAAATATGTATCTTTTCTTTGATTGATTGATTTTTTTTTTTAAACATTTAAAATTTGAAAAAGTAAGACTGACAACCAGAAACCACAGAGGGAGAGGAAAGAACGACAGAGGGACAGTAAAGAAAAGCGACCCCCTAGAGGCACGCTCCAGCCGCCCGCTCAATGACCTTCTACAGCACAAACGTCTTTCTATCAAATTACACCCTGTGACTGACCCTTAACAACTCAGAAAAATCTGCAAACACCTCATCTGAAGTGATTACAGCAACAAGCACTACAACTGGTCAACATGTCATCACCTCCCTTGTGATAAGACCGGCTCCCCCTAGCAGAGTAAACTGTAGGCCTACACAAGAAGCAAAAACTTCTTTGGTTTGTTTTAGTCAAACTTGTAGCGGTTTTACGGCGCTCGCAACAGCAAAAACCTTCTTTGGTCCCATCACATGGCCGGCAGTTTGTTCTGCTTTATTTGCCACTCTTTAGGAGCATTTCAAGTCAAAATTAAGACCTGTGTATTTGAATGAGCATATGAAAAGGATAATTTACTATGGATTCGTCAAAGTTCAAAAAAAATAATTTTGTTTTTAAAGTATACTTTGTGGGTTAGCCAGTCTCATTACAAGGGCAACGATATTCTCTTTCCCAGCTTCGTCTGAAATAATCAATGGTCAGCTTAGCTATAGCTACAAAACTTTGGAAGAAACAAACATATCCAATTACTTAGATCTGTGGCAATATCACATCACGTACAAGTATAAGTATCTCACATGCCCTGCAAAAAGCCGCAACAATTTGATCAGCCTGGTTTACCCAAAAGGCTCTTCTGCATACACCAGGGCTCTTCAACTCACAAGACCTGGGGGGGGCTGCTGCTGGGGGGTAGAGTCAGGGTGATCCTGGGCCATATCATGTATCCCACGCATACACATACACAAACATATTCGCGTTTCCAGTGTTTTCTTTTACAGTACAACTTTGAAACCTCGTTTAGAACTAGTCAACAAACACCACCACAGAGGCTATGCCAAGCCTGAGCTATCATAGCTTACAAGTGATTTTTAAAAAAATAAAAAATGCAAGCCAACACCTCGGAAAAAAAAGAAAAAAAAAAAGTGCATATGCGAGAAAAAAGTGCAAGCTGCACCAACAAGTAACTTTGATGTCCAGTTTGGGACCGCAAAATATTGTCCTGCAGGCCTTAATTGACCCTTGGGCCAAAAGTTTGACACCCCCTTGATTTACTGTACACTATACACGGCCTGGAACGGCTGCCAGATTGTAACTCCTCGACTAACCAAAATTCCCTCGGAGCTCTTCCCTCAGCGTCGCCACAAACACACAGCCTCGCAACTGTTCCTACAGGTTCAGTATAGCCAACACTCATTACATCACATTTTGATATGATTTGATTACCAGAGGCAGACATAACGGTCGTTTTGCTATTTTGTGAAAAGTACAAGACAAGACAAGTAGAAGATACACAAAATGGCTCAGAGACGCCACTGGGGTTTTGTGAAAATATTGGAAAATTTATGAAGGCGCATTTGCAAACATAAAAAGGCAGTTGTTGACAGACGCAATTAATAATTCAGGTTTATACAGATTACTAGTGCAGAGAATAATAACTTTTCTTCCATCACAATTTCAGTGAAAAATAACGGAAATGAAGGGAGACACCCCCCCGGATAAGTAGCACCCCTGATGGCTGTCCCTACTTCCTAACAAAACAAGACAGGATGAGAAAACCCATGAAACAAGATGTACTAGGAGAAGAAAAAAAAAAAACCCAACCAAAAAATCCCACGAAAGATCCACACCAACTTGTAACAAAAGCAGTGATGTAAGACTATAATGTACAGGTAAAAATCTCTGCATATACCGAGTCCTAATGCCGATGTACACCGAAAGTGACGAGCTATTATGATGATCTCTTAATGCTTCTAGCAGACAGCAAAGAGACAATACAACAGTCATGCTGCTAGGAATTCTTAAAAAAACAAAACAAAACATAACCAATCTCAGTAAAAGAATCAATTCTAAATAAGCAGACAAACAAATTAAGCTTAGCATACAATAGGTGGACACCTATATATACCCTACAGATTTGATTTGCAAACAAAAAATAAGAACCCTACTTTGGGTAAGCAGACTTGAGTAGACAAAGACCGTTTGTTATACTTTGTGTTTGTTACTGCATTTATTTTTGCAACACAGGAGATCCATCACAATTCCAACAATCTTAATAATCACAGATTTTGGTACACCAGTACCCACACTTACTTACACAAGCACATCAATACACTACCTTAGAATTACACAGTTCTATCGGACATTTTTAGCCGTTTTGAGTTACTAAGACTAAGACCACGAGGTCAGAAAATAATTGTTCTATCTGCTCTTTCAAAACTGAAAGATTGTTCGGAGTTATTATCAAGGTATTCAAAGAATAGCATTTTTTAAAAAAAGCTTGATATGTTGTGAAACTCAACATTTTTTACATCAAATTTCTCAGAACTGGGTACTGAGGAGACAGAACTTTGTAATTCTGGGGTAGGGAATACACGGAACACTCCACCCACCCAAACCAGAACAACGTCATCTGCACCAACAGAGTACAAAAGAAACACTCCTTTCTCTCTCTCTCAACTTTCCCCCCCCCATCAATTCCCCCTTCTCCGCTCAAACCGCACACATTCCAGTAAGACAGTTGTGGCCACTGACCGACACCACTACATTAAGTAAGCCATTAAGCACACTCAAATCGAAATCTCAAGTCATTTGGTGAAAGGATCTTTTGTGCTTGCTGGTCACAAAACCCGGAACAATCTCCCACAAAAATTGATAGAAATAAAACAAAAATTGAGTCTTTCAAAACTTATTTGAAAACAACATCTTTTTAGAACATGAATTCCGTCAATCTTTTCCACTTCAGCGACCATCTTTTCTTGTTCTTTTTTGTGTCTGTGTACTGTCTACTTAAAATGGATGAACAGCCTCAGAGCTTGTTTTGTAACGCGATACATCGCTATATAAATTAAATGCTATTTATTATGACTATTAATACTATTATTATTATTTGAAGATACAGAATAAAACCTGCGCTAATGTTATACTGAAGTAAAAGTCCCACATCATCCCTCATACATCACTTACGTCTCCAGTTTGCTACAAGGAATATGCAGTACAATCTGGTACAGGACATAGCATTATTTCACAGCAACAAAAGACCGCAACGACGCAAACATCTACGATTGAGAGCTCGTATTTCAATTTCAGTAAAAAAAAACTTCTACCAAACTTTCAAGTTGTTATAATCATTTTTTCCAGCCACCATATCATCTCATTCTGGTCCTCAGTAACACAATAGTAGCCTCATTTACAACGAAGTAGGGCAGCTGAAACATTTGCTGAACTCACACCATCACTTTAACCCACAACAATGTTGCATAACATATCACCTGTTTTATTACAGCGGTGCTGAGCTAGGTTTCAGTGTTGTATGCTTTTAGCAAGAGTTTTTATGGTGCTTGCAACACAATTTGGTCATATAAGTACCAAAGATTAGAGGCATTACGAGACAGTAACACGTATCACTAAAAAAAAAAAAGAGAGAGAAGATAGATGTTTGATAGGAAAGAAGGAGCAAACCACACCAGAGCACCCGTCCAACTGCCCACAAGAATCTTTGAAGACAAAACTGTAAATGTCAGATCTCCGTAAAAATATTTATACACACAGCAAAGGACAGGTACCTAAAGCAGTAGGAAAAACTTTTTAACACTGACAGGGAAATTTGAATACCTGAGGATGCGCTTCCTTGAGGAAATCCACAGTTCACTTCCATATCTGATCGCACACAGTGCAAAAAAAGAAAAAAAAAACCCACATCAGCATTATTTTCTAAAGTTCATGATTTATATTAATTAATTCTTAAATAAGACCTAGACGACGGCAAAATTTCATACTACAACAACAATATCTCCCAGCAGGTACAGGGGTGTTTGCTTGCTGTACTGTACGACTTGAGCTCAAAACGGAAAACGAAAATTAGCAACACAACTCTTGCTCCAACACCAGCAGGCACCAGCGAGCCCTCGACCACCCAGCAACAGTCAATCCGCGGCTTCCGCTGCCACACCCAGGCTAAGACGACACTCCCGCCACGGGAGGGGGAGGAGGAGAAGAAGAAGCACTGGCATTGTTCGTTACTGCAGCTGCGGCCATCGCCGAAACGTCGATTTGACCGAGAGCGCTGGGCCCGTTCCCCGCGACAGCTGCTGGGGGGGCAGCGGGCAGTGTGGGGGGGACGACACCGGCGCTGACTGCAGGCACCGCGCCTGGGACCGGGGCAGTGAAGCCGGCCGGCAGAGGGCTGGGGAAGGCCGGCAGTGGAGCGGGTGCTGGTAATGACATCGGCAGCTGAGGCATTCCTGGAAGTAGATTCATGTTCGATGCAATGTTAGGTAAATGATTATGTATCCAAAATGCTTCAATAATGTACACTCACACAATACAGCAAGATCAATACTGCCAAGGAGTTTTATTCGATAAAAGAGAAGTACACTGATAAAGTAACATAAATCAAGCGCATCAAAAGGGTAAATTAATTTAGTTTTATTTTGAGGCTGAAATTTTACAGCACTTGCAACACAAATAGGTTGAATAAGGGCCGAAGATTAGAGATGTTACTAGAATTAACATACAAAGAAAAGAAGGAGGTGAGATCATGATGATAAATGTTTTTAGTTTTAGTAGAGGTTCTACGGCGCTCGCAACTGTATAAGGTCATATGAGCGCCAGAAGGTTAGAGCGGTTACAAGAGAGTAACAAACATAAAAAAGATGAAGGGGGGATAAGCATGATAGATGTTTGATGGGAAAGAAGGAACAATCCAAACCATAGCGACTGCCAACCACCCACTAATAACAAGGATCAGCACTAAGGGGCAAAGACAGAAAGGGGGTTGGGGGTGAGAAAAAGAAAAACTAAAGATATAGACCCTTCAGCACTCACCAGCTGTCAAGGGAGGCAATGGCCCCAGAGGACCAGAGGCAGTCAGGGGAGGTAACGACACTGGGGGAAGGCCAGGCAGTGAGATTGGAGTGGTCAGTCCTGGAAGGTTTGTCAGGTTGGGCAGGGCAGCTGGAGGTGGCAAATCTGGAGGGGGGGGGGGGAGGAGATTGTGATTTAGTTGATTCGTTTTACAGCTTTGGTAAGAGTTTTACAGCACTTACAATACACAAATAGACCATATGAATAACAAAAACCATGATTGCCTAAATTTATTTTGGATCTGGCACTAAAAGAAAAAAAAAGAGAAGGCAACAGAAAAAAGCCGTACTTTTTAACACCACTAGACTTTTTGAAAATCTCAACTGTTATCAGAAAATCTGCAGTCTTACAAGATACAACACAAACCGTGAGTAGACCCTGATTGTCCAATAAAAATGGAGCTATGGTTGCAACCCATCACCTTTTTAACACGTCTTTAAATACAGTGCTAGAATTTTAAAGAAAAATATGAAAAAAGAGAAATACCAAGCTTCAAAACAGGTACCGGTTAAGGCCTTATCTATCTACCCAATGGTTCCTTTCCTTCCTCCCCCAAATGCACAATTTTATACAAAATGTTACCTGAATATTGCAACACAGTCGAAGCTTCTCTAATAGAACACATGTCCAAGACAATCACCTGTACAAACGACAACCCCACCCCCGATGGCAATTTTTCTATGAAGATGACACTGTCCAAGATGTCCACCAATCTAAGACAATGGGTGGCTGTCCAGGACAATTTCAAGTGTATTATCTGGCGAAAATCTAAAAAAACCCACAACAAATAACAAACAATCAAACAAACAAAAATTGTATTTTCTGGTGAAAATCTAAAAAAAAACAACAACCCCCCCCAACCAAACAAACCAACAAAAAACAAACTAACCCCCCCCCCAAAAAAACCCCAAACAAAACAACAACAAACAACCCCCAAACAAAACTGCAGCTGATCTGACAGAAGTGTCCAACAACAACACTCAGCTACCGACCTGTGCCTGGGATCTGGGAAGTTGCTGACTGTGGTGGAATGACGGGAATTGTGGGGCTACCTGAGGACACACATCACATCAGTTTACCATTATAATGACAGTAATAATAATAGTAATAATAATAATGATAATAAAAATAATAATAATAACAAATATAATAATCACAATAACAATAATTGTATAATAATAATAATAATAATAATGATGATGATCATATTAAAATATAGCCTATATCCAAGCTCTACATCATGCCATACGCCCTTTACAACTATTGTTACCCCAGGACGCCCTAAAACACTGGAACATTCTCAGCTTCCCGGAGAGCATGCAGAGCAAGCAGCCGATTAAGTGCTCAAACACTAACAAACTGACAAGATCTTTCACTGTCTACAGCTGGGTACCTATTTCCACCCACGTGAAGTCCGGTAATTTCGGGTAACTATTGCAAGCCTGACTGCCTAACCAAAAATAGCATGCATAGTACAGAACAGACGGGTGACGGGATAAAACAAGGATAATACAGATTTTTTTTAAAAAGCATCTGAGTAGAGAAATGAGAGGCAAACTATGACTGCCTACGTCCCTTTTTGATCAGGCACTGGAAAAATTAGAAGGTACTAGGAGGGTAAGTAAAATGGCATGGCTGTGAAGCAACCAAGCAACTGCCATTCTTACACAGTTGAAATTGTCCAAGACAGGTGCCATCGAGGACAAAAGTGGTTGTCTTAGACGAGTAACGTCTTGGAGAGTGCCATTATTATATGGAAAAAAACCCGCAAGACTCTACGACTACCTGACACTGTCAAATCGGAAACAAACTGTTAGTCCCAACTTAAAAATAACCAGAGTGTTCAAAGGGGAGTTAAATCATTCAATTACCAATTTGTTATTCCCATTTGGGATCCAATGACATAAAGATGTAAGTCATCACCATCATCAGCCTTTCTCACCCCATGCAGGAGTATAGGCTACTAACAAGAGCTCTCCATCTACTTCTGTCCTGGGCTATAGTCTCCACCTTTGTCCGGCTGTACCCCATCTCTTTTTAGATCTGAATCGAAGTCCATCCTCCCAGTACTTTCACACCTTCCTTTCTTTCTTTCCTTGTGGATTCCCTCTTAAGGCTTTGTGGGAAATGCTTGTCTCCAGCTTTATGGAGGTTTGTCAAATCAAATCTACTTATTGTTCCTAAGTGCAGAGAGAACATTTTGTGGTGAAAAGGGGTCAGAAGCATTGAAAACTACAGTATTTATTTTTAAAAATCATTTTTACACCAGCGACTGACCTGCATTGATAGACATCTGTGCCACACCTGGGGTAATGCTGGACACTTGAGGGGGAGAACTGCTCAACGGGACCTGCACGTACGACACAGAAATATAGTTCAGTTTTAGTAAGAGTTTCATGACACTTGAAATACAAATATGTCACATAAGTGCTGAAGATTAGAGGAGTTACAAGAGAGTAACATACAAAGAAAAGGAGGACAAGATAGGAATAACAGATGTTAGACAGGAAAGAAGGAGCAAACTACACCAGAGCTCTGCAAACCAATGAAAAGAGGGGCGTCAGGATTGTAAGTTCGAGTCCAAAACTGCTGGGGGGGGGGTAGGGAGGAGGAGGCGCGCAAATATCAGCCAGGAAGGAAAAAGACCATACAGAATGACATAGGAGTAAACCAAGAGAAACTACAAATGAAGCACACAGAACAAAGACTGCTCTGGGTTGACTGTCAGTTAAGTTCCGTTTGAGTAAAAGTTTTACAGTGCTTGCAACGCAGTTACATCATGTACATGTTAAAGATTACAGGTGTTACCAAAGAGTAACATACAAAGAAAATAAAGAAAGATAATGACAACAGAGTGTTAAGAAAGAGCAAACCACACCAGAGCGCCCCATCCCCCTTAAAGTCATATCATACAAGGACTTATGTCTAAGAAACCACAACCAGACATCTTCAGACAAAAATAGCTACAAAAAACCCCCTAAAAATCACACCACAGGTACTAGAATAAAACAATCTTTGAGAACACCCAAGCAGCATATTATAATCAGTCCATACGCAACCAATGCATACACAAGAAGAGAAAGTATCATTTTCATCTTTTTGAGATATCTATAGACTGACGAGCATGCTGTACATTCATTTTCACAATTTCTTCAGAATAAACCGGAAACCTTCCTCCCTCACATCGCCCTATACGTCCAAGTCACTGCAACTTAAAAAAGCAAAGCAGGAGAGCAAAAGCAGGAAAATCCCAACCACCAATTTAGAAAAAGAAAAAACAACTAAACACAAGAGGGAAGTTTATCCGACTGTTTTTTATTTTAATAGACTAGAATCAATCTCGCAGAGAGTAAAAAAAAAAACGCGTGAGATTACACCTCATATCGCACGAACCGTGGGCACTTCACAAAAATGTACAGGATTTTTTAAAAGTACAGCCACTGACGTTAAAATGACTGCTAAAAGCTGCTGTCTTGAGAATCCCCACTGAGACTTTGCGTTGGGATATCACACACAAAGTACCTCTGAGAAGCCGTCCCGAGGGGGCGAGGGGGGAGGAGCTGTTGGGATGACTGCGTTGTTGAGAACTTGGCCTTTGCCCGAGGGGAACTGACGCTTGGGGATCCGATGAAGATATCCGTAGCCGATGTTGCAGCCAAGGCTGGGAGAGAAACAAAGCATAGATACATTGGTACATAAGGACTGCACACCAAGCATCAGATGCTTTGGCTTTAGTTGTTTTAGTAAGAGTTTTACGGCACTTGCAACACAATAAGGTCATACATAAGAAGAGAAGAGATAAAGATGATAGAGGGAAGTTTATCAGACTGCATTTTATTTTAAAGGACAAGAATAGATCTCACCTGGAGTAACACAAAAAACGTGCGAGATAACACCTCATATCAAACAAACTGATTGGAAAGGAGGAAAAAACCACACTAGAGAACCAGCCAACCACCCACACCAGCACCATTACCACTTTGCTATTACAATTTTCTGCTTTTACTCAATAACAGACTCAAATAGCATTCAATCATGAACATGAATAATATGATAGAGGAAAATGTTCTTAAATTTCCACCCTTTTGAAAGCATTTTAAAAAATAGATTTGTCAGAGGCACAATGTGAACACAGGGCCACAAAAGTCAAGGGAAGGCAGAATTACTTTCAAAACTAAGAGGTAACGAAATTGTCCAGCATCCACACAATGTAGAAGACTACTTAGCTGCCAACTTTTCAAAACCAATAAACAGACTCTACCCATGCGGCGGGTCACGATGGTGGGCAATGGCCAAATAACCTTGTTTGTTTTAGTAAAGGTTTTATAGCGCTCGCAACTGCATAAGGTCATACGAGCGCAAGAAGATTAAAGGTGTTACAAGAGAGTAACAAACATAAAAAAGAAGGAGGGGAGATAGATGTTTGATAGGAAAGAAGAAGCAAACCACACCAGAACACCCATCAACCACTAATGTCAAATAAGCCTCTCCTAACCATTCGCGCACACTTTTCTACATGCAATACATTCAAGCTACCCAAAGCAGATCTGCAACAGTAATGTGAGAAACATTAGGTAAAGAACTTTTACTTAGGTAATGGACACACTTCCCACTGATTTATATATAGGCTTTGTTATCATTATTCATAACATCGCGTATTGAATGTTAATAAATTTTTCTTCAATATCCGCAAATTGGGTGGTGAACCACACTAAAAAACAGAGAACATGTATTTTCGACACAAAAATGAACTTCCGTACTCTGATCACCCATAATGTATTAAATACATTTTTTATGAACTGGTCGGCAGCTAAGGGACTATGTATTATATTTCACCACTGACCTGCCCTGGCCACCCCAGCCTCCATTGGGTGTGATGGTGACCTCGCGACATGAGTCCGAGTCTGTGTTGTAGACGTACAGCTTCAGCGCCTTCCCCTCGTGAGACTCGATCAAGGTGAACAGATCCTCAGACTGAAAGGTAAACAAATTGCTTTAGCTTTTTTAGTTAGTTTTAGTAACAGTTTTACTGTACTTGCAACACAATGAGGTCATATAAGTGCCGAAGAATAGATGTGTCACCTAAAAAAAAAGGGATGAAAGATAAGAACGATATATGTTTGATAGGAAAGAAGGAGCAATCCATACCAGAACACCTGCCAACCACCCACTTACTTTAGCTTCAGTAAGTTTTACAGCACTTGCAACTCAAATAGGTCATATAAAGTGCCAAGGATTAGAGGTGAGGCTAAAGTGTGACATTCACAACCAGCATAGAAAAAAACAACAACCCCAGCTTGCATGATCAAACAGAAGTTAATAGCAGCTATCAGGAACAAAAAATAAATGACATCCCTCTTCACTCACCTCATGCAGGACAGAATCTGCTCCAATCACAAAATCTGAGTCTGACTTCAAGCCTGCCAAATCAGCTGGGGAATTGGGCTGGACTTCCTGATGAGACAAAATGGTGGAGACACTTTCGTCAAATGAGACCCATTCAAGTCAATAACCTCTTGTACATTAAAAACCAACAAAACAAATTTAAAGAACCTTTGAAAAGTAAATGCCACAATTGTGAAACTAATGGCATCAATGTACACACTTACTTGCTAAAAATACAGAATCAAAAAGCTAGAGTCACACATGAAGGAATCCACAAAAAAACAAGACTCCTGTAGATACCCCCTTCTCATAATTGATTTGCAGATTTAACAGTTTTCATAAAAGTTTTTCAGACTATTCATATAAAATAATATATAACATTTATATAGCGCATTTCCAAAAAAGTAGCTCAATGTGCTTTACATTGGAATACCCATTTTCAAAACCTTCCATACTACTTCCTTTCTTCTCATGTAATATATAATAATGCATACTCTCTCTCACACACACACAGACTATTTTCAATCAGACATAGGCACAGAGCTACTGTAATAAAAACAATAACGTTAAAAGCTATTGGCTTCTTGTGTACAAGAAAAGGTTAAGGTCAGTCTTCATAAAAGCTACCATCAAGTATTTTCCCTTTTAACCTTGTAAAAAACCATGACCCCCATCCTTAACACTTTGCCGTCAAATCTCGCAGATCGGCGATGTTTACAACCCAGTTTCTTCGGATTTTCCCCAAAATACCTTTGCCTTTGATGGCAAGGGTTTTTATGAGTCTTGTGATGGCAAAGTGCAGGAAACGATAACTCGCTCTGCCTCATAAAAATAAAAATAAATCTCTTGGCAGCATTTTTTATTTCTAAAATCTTTCCCACCAACAAAACATAATATCAGCATACAACTATGGCATGCCATACAGGAGATGAGTAAAAAATCAATGCCCCATTTTACACTTTAACTGCATGCAGCGTTAACTCATTCACTACACCGAGCCGTGGGGGGCGGCGCGGCTAGAGTGTCGTCAGTACACTAAGCCGCCCCCGGCGGCTCGAGAACTGACGTTCAATTTTAACTTGGTTTCTATTCCAATCCACATATCCATGTTAAAATAAAGGTCATAATATAAAGTTGACTTCCGGGTCAAGTGTTTCCACCGAAAATTGGAAGTTTTGATTCAGTTTTGAAACAGGATTTTGAAGTTTATGCGACGTTTTATCGCGAAGCCCAAATTATAGCCAGACACCAGTCTTTGTACTTTTACACAACAAAATGTATCATTATTTTGCTCACTAAAGAAGTGTAGGACTCTTCTTATAATATTGATACTACTGGACTCAAATTGCCAGTGCACTGTAATTGAGAAATCAATATTTTTGAGTGCTAGATCTAGGCCTAGATCTAAATAGTCAAAATATTTTTTTCTCCCCAAATTCACTACTTTTTGGTGAATTTACTCAAAAAGTACCACCCAATACATGTATAGGTTTATTCCAAATGCAATTCTGAATAATTCCATATAAGATACGAGTGTTTTTTTCTGTTTGGGATCCTTTTTTCAAAATTATTTAAAACATTTTTTTTTTCAATATCGGAGGTTACGATCCAAATGTACAAATATTATGGAATGTATGTGAATAACTGCTCATTTTTCAATATTTTCCTGTTCTATATACAGTTATGGTTATTTTGATGTATAATTTGACTAGATGCAAACATATTTTTTGAGTTTCATCTGAGATTATAATTTTGTTTTCAAATTTTATCCGCAGCCAATCACAATTGTGTTGCATAATCGCCTCTTACAGGAATCAAAGTTGAAAAATACTCAAATAAACAATACAGATGTATTCTACAAACCATACTGAAAATGTTGGTATATAATATGTTGATATTTATTTGAATTTATGGCCCCCAAGACCTGTGAAATGCGCACTAGTCATCATCTCATTTCGCCCTCCAGAAAAAAATTCGTCTAAAAGCCGAAAATAATACGTAGCGAATGAGTCAATAGACTGCATACAAACAATCCAATATTACTAGTACAACTTTACTGAGAAACTTACCAGGATATGCCACACATTTTCATTTGCACCCTCAAAGGAACAGAATCTGGGGACAAAACCAAACAGTGACATGATGGGATCATTGATCTACTGCCTATCTAAATGGAAACATGTTTTTTTCAAGCCACCATCTCATTCAGTAAAGAATGTGTAATTATTATGATAATAATTATGTGTACTGTGGGATCACCCACAGCATAACAACAGTAGCACTGTTCATTACGCAATAATTACCCATTTTTTGTAGCCAAAGGGTTTTTTTATGACCGCACAGCCAAAAAGCTTTTTATGACTGCACAGTCAGCAGATGAAGAACCCCCCCCCCCCCCCCTCATGTAATCAATCCCACTGTGTTCACATTTGTCAATCAATAGACTAGCGAGATCAGTACACACAGTAATGTGAGTTTTAATGGCTTTCCCAGGACAGATCCTTTGACAGAATGCAAATAATCTTTATCTCAGAAAACAGTGAAACTTTACATGTCAGTAGGCTGGCCAGTCCCTTAGTCATAAAATAATTCTGTCATTCTCTTCTTTTTGGCCTAACAATTTTTAGTCCGGTTTCATCCCTAAAATAACCAAAATTTAAAAAAAAAACTTGCTTCATGACTCTACACATAGTACACAGAGCTGCAGTTTATAGATAATTATATTTACAATTTTGTTTCTATAGATGGCGACACTGTGGCAAGCATTTAGCATATTATATTCCTTCAAAAATCTATGACCTGATCATTATTTCAAAAGCTGAGACAACAGTATGAGACCGACCTGATGCTGACCCCAAGCAGCCCCTGACCGCCCCAGTTGTGTGAGGGGATGAGACTGATGTCCCGTACGTTCTGTGTCTTGCTGCTGTACACCGTCACCTTCAATGGTTTCTCTATGTTGGCCTTGAGGAGTTCCTTCAGAGTGTCATTATCCTGGTTCTGTAACCATAGCAATTATATGGTATGAAAACAAAGTTAGAGTCGAAATTGTCAAAGACGGCCATCCATTGTGGAGGAGTAAAGTGGCCATCCTAGACAGGTGGACGTCTCACAGTCTCATTATAATGTAAATTTTTTAAAAGTAAGGCCGGAAATGGGAATGCACAAAAAATAAAGACTTGCAACTTAGTTGTCCGACACATACATCATGAATACAAATGGTGGAAAGTTTGCATGAAAATTTGGACAAACTTGAAACTGACTTTGCTTTTGTACTGTTCACCTGGTAACCCCCTTCATCGTCTGCTTTATTCTCTCTCAAAGTAATGCAAGTAACATATAGATTGATGGACGCTCTCCTTGCTTCCTTTGTCTGGTCAGCGTGTTTTTGCGTGGGAGCCTAGCGAGGTAACCAATATTAGGGCCTGGAGTTGTCAAAAGTAATCAAGGCATTGGGTAATAATGGGTGTTGCTACAATTAATCAAAGATCTGGTCAGGGTTTGGCATTAATAGAAGTAATCAAGGGACTGGTTATGCCTCACAGACAGAAGTAACCAGAGACTGGCTGGAGACCAGAGCTTCCAGTATAGCAGTGATCAGTAATTCAGTTCAGATTCGATTCCTACAGATCCTGGCTTGTGAGAATCGAGAATTGGGAATCTGTGGCTACTAGAAAGATAAACCCAGGAATCACCCACCACTATTATCTGAGAAAAATTTCTTCAAATAAGAGTGAGTTGCAACACAATCTTAACAAACACTAAATTTTCGATTGGAACCAGTTAAAGTCAATAAGAGAAAACTCAAAAATAGACTATTATTATACCAAATCGGATTCTCCGGTTTTGGCCCCAAGAGTACCAGATATTGATGCCGACTTAAATAATTGGTATCTATGTTTTATCTGACTGAAAGAGAGCAAGAGAAGCGCTGCTATTTTTCAACTGGTACAAAATGAGCCATAATATTTCATTTGTTTTTAACTAGGGGCGTTCTTGCCCCCCTGACCTAATAAAAATATATCAGGGGGTTTCTGAATTCAACCACAATTTGATATTTTGCAAAATTAGGTTCGATATCTCTCACTCCCCGTACATCAAACATCATATTGGCACATGCATCGAAAAGTAGTAATCGTTTAGAACCAGAAGTAATCGTCGGTAAATCCAAAACCCACACTCCAAAGTTATTGTTGCGGCCAATACCAGACTATTCCCCAAATCATTGACCAACAACAAAAAGAAGGGACAGGATATAGACACATGGCAAAAAGCCGAAAAAAATGCAAAGGAAGAAAATATAAGAGGTGAGTATTTCAACAGAAGCAAAATGACATTGTTTTTAAGAAAGTTAATAGGTTCAGATGGACAGACAGGGTCACTAACGAGGATCTGTTAAGGAAAACATGACAGGTCCCAGTCAGAAATGAGGTTCGAAGTAGGCGGTGGCGATGGACTGGACATGATACTCTCAGGAAGTTAAGCAGCTGCATTAATACATTAAGACAGTGTTGGATTGGAATCCAGGAAGATAAGGGGAAGACTGCACGGAACCTGGAGAAGAATCACAGAAATTTATGTTCATAAAAGCAAGAGGCTAGCCCAGGATAGAAGACGGTGGAAAGTGTTTGTTCATGCCCTACCCCTAGTGCAGGGTGAGAAAGGGAATGGATGATAGAAAGATCAATGAAAATGACATTGCACTCATGCAGGTAGGCTAAACTTTAATCTAAATAAATGCAACTTACAAGACGTGTATTTCCAATTGCAACAATGAAGTCAAAAAATGCTTCCAGGCCTGCCTTATGACCAGGGGAACCATCTTGAACCTGTCAAATCAATCAACAACAAAACAAGTTTTAAAAAAGCAATGTCTCTCCATCATAAAATCATTCATTTTGATAAAATCTTTTCTCAATGAAGTTCACATGAAGGTCTCAACTCCAAGGAAAGATCTGAGCATACTTGCAACCACTGTCGCATTTAAAACTGATGCTTCTCAGCGTTGAATTCATTACAATCGAACTTTAGCTTGACCGCTACCGTTTCAAAGACAAGACCTGCTCTCTCTCAGTTCTTTCACAATTAGATCTCTATGATGCAGAGATGCAAAATGAAAGGAGAAACATGTGGACAATATACTGCCTTGAAAATGAATGGGACGTACCGGTGCAGCGGTATCATTTATTTTAGGACTATCATAGATTCTAGACCTACTGTTGGTATAGTTTACTGAAAGTTTTTATTGTTTACAACATGATGATGAGGTGAACATCTTCAACCACCATTGAAAGCAAATTTTGAGTTTGCAATGCAAAAATGCCTTACTCGTAAAACATGGTAACCTTCTGTGCCTCCTCCAGGAACCTCTGTACTTGCAGATCCTCCCATTTTCCAGATGAAAATGTGCTGAACTTCAGGCAGCTACGAGATCTAGATAGCAAGGTGTGTGTTGTCATGCAACGTTTACTAAAACAAAATGGCCTCGACGTGGCATTCGTCGGCATCCAAGAGCTACTTCCGGAAAACGAGAGTGATTGCCCCTGAATTTATTTGAAGGAGAAAGTAATGTATCATTATTGTTTTTGTTTACATAATCATCATTTTAGTTCGACAGAAAGGAAGACCATGCTATAGCAGCTTTTGTCTAAAAGGTAAGATACCTTAATATTCTAATAGACTTCGTTCATCTACAGCAATGTGAAAAATTCATGACGATTGTAGGCCTAGCCTAGATCACCTAGATATCTAGATCTATTCATTTGTGATCACTTTCGACGATCTTTTGCAAGTAAAAAGTTTCGATAAAATTATCGCATTATTTATTCTGTTTTGACAAGGAGCAACAGAAGAGTAGGCGACCGGATACGTGAAGGAAGTGTCTACAAGTCAAGGTAGGTGACTGCCTTACTTATACGGAAAAAAATAGTTTAAACATGGAGGCAGTCAGGATTATCATCAACATAGATCTAGATCTACATTTAGACTAGATTTTCTAGATTGGATTGGAGATCCTAATTTTGTCGCTCCCAGACCAGTTTGTTTACTGACCACTGACAGTTAACTGACACTGCACAGCTGATGATGATATGGCCACCTCTATTCTCACCCGGGGTGAGAATAGTGCAGGCGAGTCTTTTGGCTATGAAAGTGGCTATTCTCACCCGCCCGGAAGTTCTCGCAAGATCTACTCCTCCCCTCTTCTCTCTCTCTCTGTCTCTTTCTGAATACTGTCTATCGGTGTGGACGATCAAATTGACCAAAACAAAGTTAAAAAATGATGTTAAAACACAAAAGTAAATTAATTTGGTTGTCTACAAAGATGCTATGGCTATTTAACTTTTCGAATCGAGCCGAACTACGCGGGTCGCCATTTTGTTTTGTTCTCTCTCTCACTCTCTCTCTCTCCCCTGCCCACAGACAAAATTGTACGCTTTTAGCAGTGGAGAGAGAGAGAGAGAGAGAGAGGAGTAGCGCGAGAACTTCCAGGCAAAACAAAATGGCGACCCGCGTAGTTCGGCTCGATTCGAAAAGTTAAATAGCCGTAGCATCTTTGTAGACAACCAAATTAATTTACTTTTGTGTTTTAACATCATTTTTGAACTTTGTTTTGGTCAATTTGATCGTCCACACCGATAGACAGTATTCAGAAAGAGACAGAGAGAGAGAGAAGAGGGGAGGAGTAGATCTTGCGAGAACTTCCGGGCGGGTGAGAATAGCCACTTTCTGATGATATACTGAAGTCGTTTCACCATCTCAAAATTGAAAAGTTTACTGTTTGTAGTGTTGTTATTTTCAAACTTTTTTCAGCCCATAGCTTATGAAATGTGACTGTAGATCATACTGCCATATCCCATAATGTGGCAGGGGGTGGATCTAGGCTAGTAATCTTGAGTCAATTTTACAAGTTTACAAGAACCGCCAAGGCAAGGTCAGCATAAATCAAAATTCAAAAATTGTCTGGAAAGCAAGCTGCATCTTACTGCGCTCCAAGATTCGACTTATTCCAATGTCAAGTCTGTACCCCTCTATGGCTGCGAAACTTGGAAGACCAACAACAAAGACAGTACTGAATAAAGTCCAGACTTTTTAAATCTACAGTCTACATATTAGGAATAGGAGTATCCTTAGAATTAAGTGGCAGGATAGAATATAAAGAAAAAAAGAGATGTGGGAAAGAACAGGACAAAAGGACAAAGTTTCTGAAATGGCTGTCGTTATTCCCACCCGGGGTGAAAATAAAAATATTATTTTATTCTCACCCGGGGTGATATTCGCATGGTAAAGAAACTTGTACATAATGGGTTAAAACAGTGGGACATGCCCCTGCCCTCTGTTACACCCCAGATTTTTTTTTTTCGAAGTGGCTATGCGTACGGCTCTCCAGTATGCATAGCATCGAGGCTATGTGTACGACCCTCCACTTCACATAATAAACTAGGCTTTGTAGGCGGCACATAAAAACTATCAAACCGGACGCTACAAGTGGAAAAATTTCAACCCTGGAAGCGCGCAGGCCCTTTTTAAAGGGCGTGAGCCAGGCTACATGGGAAGCGGGCAGGATAGGACTGACCTACTTTGATTGAGAACACAAAGGGCATTATAAACAATGACCTTTTTTTTCAAGGCCACCTCTATTCTCACCCGGAGTGAGAATAGTGCAGGCGAGTCTTGTGGCTATTCTCACCTGGTGCGTGTTCACCAAATTTTGCGTTCACCCTAAACCACAGAATTCTACACTGTGATAACAGAAAAATTGTAGAATTCTGTGCCCTGAACAAACGTTCCATTACAACTGTAGCCTACTAAACTAAAAGCGTA